ATTCTGAATAATTTTTAACTGGGTAATTCCTCCTTGAGGCTATAATTAAAGCTTAGAATTCCATTCTACCTCCCTTTTGGTAAATTATTTCTTCCATTAAAGCAATGGCACCTGAAACTCCACTTCCTATATACAGTATGCTTTGGTAGAAAGAGTTGTCAGATCTAAATTTGAATATCATTTTTGCCACATAATAGCTATATGATGCTGAGCTGCTTCCTTAACCTAAGACTCAGCTTCCTCCTCTTAAAAATGGGTAACAACAACTAACATTCTTAATAGGAATGTTCCAAGGATTAGAAATATATAGGTAGTCTTCACTTTACAATATGCTCAAATTTCAGATATTGCAGCTTAGTTAAATAACACCAATCCCCCAACAACACGATTCAAATTCAATTACCACTGCATATTAACTGTGAGTAGCTGAATATAGTACAAACTTGACTACTAGATCTTAAGTCCACAGATCATTGTTTAAATAATAAAAGCATAACACAATCAGTGGCCAACCAAGTCACTGCTTTCAAAATTTGCTGGTGATCAGTCACTGCACATCTGTTACTCAGTTCATCATGTATAAAAAGCAAAGCATGTAGTTGAGTTGCCTCCTTGTCTCTGATGAAAAATTTATGTGCCATTTTACAAAAATGAATAACAGGAGGATACTGGGCAATAATGATGAAAGGGATGCAGAGAAACAAAAAGTGATAATGTTGGAAGTGAAATTCCAATCAAACATAAATGGAGTTATATTAGAAAGCTGACCACAGGATTGTTGACACTGGTACCATTTAAGAGACTCTAGATACGCAACCTGAGAAATTTAGTGAGGGAAAATTTATCAACATAAATGAACAAAGTGGTTGTGGAGAAAAGGATGAAGATGTTCCAGAAGAAATGACACTAGCAAAAAAACTCCCCATTAAAGGAACTCTTGGAGATATTTCACAATATTGAAAGTGCAAAGGATAAATTTTAGAAGCTGATTTAAATTTAGAAAGGATTCTCGAAGGTATAGAAAAAATATTCATATAAGTTATATGATGGGAAGACAAGCACTGTTCAAACTACTCTTGATAAGTTATTTTACTAAACAATAAAACACTTTAATCCTCAATGTTTTTAATGTTTTACATTACTGTGTACTAAATAAATATGCTTTTCTTTTTGGAATGTGGCAAAGTCATAACATGTAACCAAAATGTTTGTACTCCCATAATTTCCTGAAATAAAAAAAATTAAAAATAAATATGCTTTACTTTTTCTTTCCCTATATATTTACAACCAACAGTAAGAGTTTACATAACAATTACTATGTTCTTGACACTGTGCTAAACACATTACATACATTATTCCCATTTAATCCTTACTTAATATTTATAAAATGCTTAGAGAACTGCCTGGCATATAGTAAATGATATTAAATGAATAAAATAACATAAATTATCCCAAAAAAAATTTTTTTAAAGGTCACAGAGCAGTCTTTTCCCACTGATTATTATATAACTTTTTCCATTATTATTAAGATCACTTTACCTGGTTTTAACTTGCAAGGTCATTTGTATGGTCCCACGCTACCATGCAAAACAAGGACTGCCTCTACCTACAACTTCTGGCAAGAAGGAGCTTATTATTTCACAACTAAAGAGAGACCTCCTACTTTTTCCCCTGGTCCTTACAATCTCCTCAAACAAAAAGGAATTTGAACTGATCTTGGGAGATGCTAAAAAGACAGTTTTTCAGCTGCTGAAAGTGACTGAGAACCACTGCCATGTCTGACCATGCAATTCCACAAACTTGTCATTATTACCCAAAAGACACATACCCTAATGCTGAAAAACAATTGAAAGATAGCAGAATAAATTGAATAGTTATTCAATTTGTCCTTTGTGATATTATAGTACTTCACATCTGTCTTTATCCCTTGAATGCAGGGACAAAACAATCAATGTGTGATAGAAATAATGATGGGGAGGTAATATAGTATAGTACCTTTGGAGTCAGACCTCAACTTGAAAACTATCTTTACACTACTTATTGCAACCTTAGGTAAGTTATTTCTGAAAGCTTCAATTTCCTAATCTTTGAAATGGGGACAATAATGCCTTCTTTTTGGAATTACTGTAAAGATCAAAAGAAATAAGACTGCCAGAGTAGTGGCTCATGCCTGTAATCCTAGCATTCTGGGAGGCAGAAGCAGGAGGATTGCTTGAGCTCAGGAGTTCAAGACCAGCCTGAACAAGAGTGAGACCCCTGTCTCTACTAAAAAAGAGAAACAATTAGCCGGGCATGGTGGCGCACCCCTGTAGTCCCAGCTACTCTGGAGGCTGAGGCAGGAGGATGGCTTAAGCCCAGGATTTTGAGGTTGCTGTGAGGCTGGACACCATGGTACTCTAGCCTGGGTAACAGTGAGACTGTCTCAAAAAAAAAAAAAAGAGAGAGCGAGAGATCCGATATATGAAGTGCTTAACAAAATGAGGCACATAGTGAGCACTTAGATGCAACAGTGAGACTCTGTCTCAAAAACAAAAAAAGAGAGATCAGACATATGAAGTACTTAACAAAATGTGGCACATAGCAAGCACTTAGATAATAGTTATTATTACCATTGTTATCCTTAATATTACCATCATTAATATTCCCTTTACTGTAAATAATACAATGATAAAACTGCATTTGTTTTGAACACATATTTTAAACATATTATTAATCAGCATATTTTTCATAGATCAAATTCTCTTACTCCAAGATTTCATAGATGTCGACCACTTGCTATGGTAAGGTGATTTGACCTCAACTTCCTCCAGATCACGTTCTCCCAAGGTATTTGTGCATAGGGCTACTAATATTCACTCATCCTCTTCTTGAAACTCTTAGATTTCTATATCAAAACCCTCCCTGCAATCTGTTCAGAGTTTCCTCTTCTGAGCACATTGAAAACTAAAACCATTTCCCATTTCTCACAGCTATCTGCCAGAACACTAGTATCTTAGTCGTTCATAGTCCACATGACTTAACTGCCAGTTTTCTCTTTTGATTCTAATCCCAAACCTTGGTTCTAAACTAAGAGTCATCATTACCTACGTAGACACATAAAGGTGCAAGGGAACTGAAGGCCAACCAAGGGCAGCCCCTTTTCTCTACTAAACAATTATTTCCTTCTAAAATATTCACATGAGTTAGTTGAGCAATGTCTGCTTTAACACTTTCAGTGACAGAAAGCCTTCTTTGCCTTTGCTTTGTTGAGAAAAAAAAGAAAAGAAAGACCTCTATCCCCCAAGCCAACCTGTTCCATGACTATATCATTGGTTAGAAAGTTTTTCCTTATGCTGAAGGAAATCTCCCCACTTAGTTTCTGCCCATAGGCCCTAATTCCAGATTCTAAAAAAATTTAAAAAGTTAACTGTTCTATATGATAGCTCATCCAATATTTGAAGACTCTTGAGTTTCCCCTTTTGCATGTTACACATTTACAGTTCAAAGAGCATAGTTTTTAACTTATTCCCTCATGGTCCAGGTCTTCTGGACCAGGCATGGGCTTGCCAAAGTGATCTAACAATAAACTGGTAAATTAGTTCCTTTGCCAATATTTGTGCTGCCAAGGAATTACACTACAAAGGATCCCTATGCCCATATTTCTCATTATGTAACAATTATTAATTTAAACTAGTAGTTCAGGAAAAGTGACTCTCAGCCAAAATCATGGTCTCAAGGAATGGTACTAAAGTCCTGAAAACTGCAAAAAGTATTCTGTTTTCTTTAACTTATCTTAGCCAATTCCTGGAATAGAATAAAGTAGGATCATCTGGCATGAAATGCTTGTCTCTTTCCTACAAAGTCAAACACACATGCCTGGGAGCAGGACACAACAATGAAAAGGTTAGCTAAGAAGAATTTTGCTTCATATCCTGAGAAGTAGATCCAATTAAAAGAAAGCAGTAATAGCCAAAGAATATTCTCTGTACCTTGCCACGAGCAGGTACCTGAAAAAAGGATCGAATATTATGATCTCAAAATGTGACCAAACTAAACAACAGAAAAAGAAGTGGGAGATTACTGCTAGCCTGGCAAGAAACATCATCTAGGAATACAGACAGAAAGACACAGATAACAACCCCCACCTGGCCAGCAGTGCCTGACAGAGCAGCAACTAGATAGCGAAGGGTTCTTCCTTAAGTCCTCAGAAGGTGCATTCAGTGGAAGTAGTGCCCTCAGATGACCCCTAACTTCTAGGTAGTGGTATAGGGCACAGTGGAGCAGGGACTTGGTCCCTTGTGCTCTTGGGAGCCTGGCCTGAGCAGGAAGGTACAGACCAGGTGCTCTGCCTTCTACTTTTCGTGCAAGATGATAGTTGAACAGCAGTACTCAGAGAGCGGACGGGACGATCTCTGGTACTTGAAGATATCCTGTGGGGGGGGGGTGTCTCAAAGAGGTAAAAACTGTTCTCTAGAAGTGAGCGAGGAGGTCTAATAAGAACAGATAAAAAAAAGGGAAAGACCTAGAATTTTCACAGATTTGGGGAAGGAAGAAGCTAGGAACTGTCCCCCCTTCTTCCGTGCCCTTCTGGCTAAGGTGGTGGCAGCAACAGCAGAGCAGGTGTCCTGGCCCCTCATTCCAATGAGCAGAGTCCTCCACTCTCCCAACCTCTTCTCGGGCTGCCCCCAGCCGGCCCCGACTTCGCCCCTCAGGCAGGAATTCCCCAATCCCAACCCTGCTCCTCAGGCTTTCCCTGAGGTCCAGCGGGAGTCCCCCAATCTCTTCCGCCCCCCAAACCCGAGGTCCCCCTTCATCCTGCCCAGACCCTGGCACTCCTCACTCGACATACTGGATTCCCCGGTCCGCTGCCCTCAGCTTGCCCCGGCCCAGGCCGCCCCACTCCAGCTCCCGGGTCAGGCCTGGTGCCGCCCCTCTCCAGGTTCGCCCTTTGCCTTCCTCTCACGGCGTCTCCTCAGATCCGCGCCCTCTCTCCCTCCCTACCCGCCTCAGGCCGCACTCACAGAACTCGGCGATGTACCAGGTCACAGCGTAGTTCTCCTCGCACCAGTCCAGCGTGGAGGTCGTGGGGCCCCAGTAGCCCTTCCGGTCCACGGTGGGAGCCATCGCACAGGCACTGCCGCCGCCGCCCAGGCGCTCCGCTCGCTGCTCCCGGCTCGGCGGGCTACCAGGCCGGCTCCGGCCCTGCTCGCGCGCTCGCTCGGCCCCGCCTTCCCGCCGAGGGGCGGGGCCTGGCGCCGTTAAGGACACTGCCCGGCAGGAAGGCCCCGCCTACCGGCGCCTCGAGGCCTCCAGGAGGGGCGCGGCGCAGGACCCACCCCCAGAGCGCCGCTGGCTCCGCCCCTGCTTCCCCCGTGAGCGGGACCGGGACGAGATCCAGGAAGGAAGGGGCATCTGGGCTTTCAGGCCAGCCTGGACACGCCGGTAGCAGTAGACTGGGGGTTCTGGATACCCTAGAGGCTATTTTCTGTCAGGATATGTCTGAGCCTCTATTTGTGCGTGTGTGGTTTGATTTAATTGGGGCAGGGATGGGATGAAGGCTTGTATCAAGCCCTTGCTTGATTAAACCTGTGCAGCGTTGCACCTCAAATGTGCCCTACTCTTCAGGGAACCAACAGCCTCCAGCTCAGCCTCTGCAGAGCTGCCGGAGAGATATTTATAAAACACAGATGCAACTGCGCTTACCCCTTGTGTTCAGCTACAGCAGACTTTTCCCTACCTCGGAATGTGCTGGTCGCCTCCAAGTCTTTGCTCCCGCAGTTCAGCTGGGACGGCCTTCCCCTCTTCTCCATTTGGCTAACTCCCCACTCATTCTTTACAGTACAGCTCTCTGAAGCCCTGATGTTCACATCCAAGAGCTCGGTGATACCATCCTGATCAGACACCTTGCTTTCCATTCTTTGTGGTCTTAGCATCTAGGAATATGACTGACCACACAGTAGGAAATGAAGAGTATAAATGAAGAATGATACAATCCCTATTTTCTAAATAAATAAGTTAGACGAGGTGCAATCGTAAAAGAGAAGACAAGGAGAGATTGAAAAGGCCACAGGCTCTTTATAAAAAGACCCTAGCAGATGACAGATGCAGAACCTTTACTCGCTAGGTGCAAAGCCTAGGAATGAAGGCAATGTGTTTTAATAGGAATAGTAGGATATCTGAAATTTTTCTTTTGCATAACAGTCTTTGAGCTTCTGCTGTGTACCAAGTCCTAGTTTAGCTGGCTGGGTGCTAGGAACACACAGAGGGTAAGCAGGAAAGATCAAGCAGGCAGTCTCCAGATAGCCATTGAGGTGTGGGGAAACTTCCATTTCGAATCGTTTTTTAACCCATCCTCTAAAATCCTGTTTTGTGTATGGTTTTAATGTATATGATAATCATGAATCTATATACTTTATAAATAAATATATTTGTATACTCAAAATGAACATGTAAAAATACATACTCAAAGGCTGATGAGCTGTGCAACCAAAACAGTGTAGAGACCACAGCAACAAAGTGTGATAATACTTTGCTAGGAGTAAACCAAAAATTAGGGTGCTATAGGACCCTCCTACATGGAAATAACCGCAACCCAGCCAAATGACTCAAGGCAGGAGATGAGGCTTTGGCTGAATCAATGCACTACACAGTGTTCATCAACAGTGGAAAAAAAAAAATCTGCCATGACCAAGACAGAATTTAGAAGAGAGAAATTCTGTCGTCCAAGTGAAAAGGTGTACTGCAAAAATATCACTTAAAAAACACAAAATGAATTTTATAGTTCCTTCAGCAATGTCTATCTTCCTTTTTCTTTCTTTTTTTCTAAAAACTCCCCCTGCCCCAGGTATAAAAGCAATGCATGGAAATGTAAGGTACCCGATTTAGCCAAAACCACCTTGAAAAAGAACAAAGTTAGAGCACTTACACTTTCCGATTTCAACACTTACTACAAAACTACAGTAATGAAGACAATGTAGTACTAGCATACAGACAGATAAACATGTAGATCAAAGGAATAGAATTGAAAGTCCAGCAATAAACCCTTACATTTATGGTCAATTGATTTTCAACAGGGATACCAAGACAATTCAATAGGGAAAGAAGAGTTTTTTTCAACAAATGGTGCCCGGATAACTGGATATCCACATGCAAAAGAATGAAATTAAACCCCTTCCTACCATGATAAAATTCAACTCAAAATAGATGATAGACCTAAATGTAAAAGCTAAAACCACAAAATTCTTAGAAGTTTACATAAAAGTAAATATTTGTAACCTTGGGTTAGGCAATGGTTTCTTACATGAAACACCAAAAGCACAAGCGACAAAAGAAAAAATGGAAAAATTGGATTTCATCAAAATTAAAAACTTTTTTGCTTAAAATGATACCATCAAGAAAGTAAGAAGACAACCCACAGAATGAAAAAAAAATTATTTGCAAAGTATATATCTGATAAGAGACTTGTATTCAAAATATATAAAGCATTCACAACTCAAATCAAAAAACAACCCAGTTAAAAAATGGGCAAAGGATCAGCATAGACATTTCTCCAAGGAAGATATACAAATGGCCAATAAACACATGAAAAAATGTTCAACATCATTAGTCGTTAGAGAAATGCAAATCAAAACCACAAAACTAGGATGGCTATAATCAAAAAACCAATAACAAATGTTGGCGAGGATATGGAAAAAGTAGAATCCTCATACGTTGCTGGTATGTAAAATTGTACAGCAGCTTTGAAACACTTTTGCAATTTTTCAAAATGCTAAATGGAGTCATCATATGACCTAGCAATTCTATTCCTAGGTATATATCAAAAGAGTTAAAAACATGTCCACCAAAATCTTGTACAAGAATGTTCATAGCAGCATTATTCACAATAGCCAGAAAGTAGAAACATACCAAATATCCATCAACCAATGAATAGATTAACAAAGTATGGCATACTCAGGCAATGAAATAGTATTTGGCAATAAAAAGGAATGCAGTGCTGATCCATGTTACAACATGGATGAACCTTGAAAACATTATGCTATATCAAAGAAGTCAGACACAAAAGGACATATATGGTATGATTCCACTTACATAGAACATCCAGAATAGGCAAATCTATATAGATAGAAAGTAAATTAGTGGTTGCCTAGAACTGAGAGAGGGAGCAGGAACAGGAGGTGATCGTTACTAGGAACAGGGCAACTTTTGGGGATGATGAAAGTGTTCTAAAATTGGATTGTGGTGATGGTTGCACAACTCAGTGAATATGAAAAAAAAACCCATTTGCTTGTACACTGTAAATGACTGAACTGTGTGATGTGTGAATTATTATCTTAAGAAAGCTTTATTTAAAAATATAGATTTTTATGTTGAAAACTTAGAAATACAAAAAAATGTATAAAAAAAATCACACATAATCCAACCAACTAGCAATTACCATCGTCAACATTTAAATATATTTTCTTGCAGTATTTTATCTAAGGATTTTTTTTACATGATAGAGTTAATATTGTCTTTATATACCATATTCTTTCATAAGCATGTCTCATGCCATTAAAAAATCATCATATCATATTAATAGTTACATCATATTTCATTTTATAGATATACCACAATTATTTAATCATGATATGTCTATTTTACTATTCCCTTACTACTGAGTATTTAGGTTATTTTCAAAGCCTATATTTATTTTTCAGCTAACAAATGAGAACCCAAATTTTGAAAGCTTTCAATGAAATTCCTGCTGAAAATTCTTTTTACTAGTTTCTGAGATGACAAAAGAAATCTAAACTATAATTCACTTTTTCCACATTAGATACGTTGTACTATTTCACAAATGCAAAGGAAAATTTGAAACCATGAAAACTCAATGTGTAGGCTCACCACAGGTTAAGTGGTTTTATGTTCTACAAGTCACCTCTTAGCCCCTCTTACAGCTCAGTGTGTTCACTGCAGGCCCACAACACTGCCTAGCCATCACTCTGCAGGAGTCAAGGAGTGTCACCCAAGGGCAATAGACACAACCTGGGAACACAATCCCAGTCTTCTGGGAAAACTCCCCTGAACCCCAGACTAGGTTTGAGCCCCTCCTCTATCCTTCTGCAGCCCCTGGCTTTCCTTTGCCATGGCCCCTCTCACGTTTGGTAATAGTGTGTTTAGGAGTTGGTCTTCCAGACCCTGTCCTCCTCTGTCTGTGTATCTCCAGTGCAAGAGTTTACATATTTTCAAATGTAATAAATAATGCCAAAGGTTGTACCAATTTACATTTCTGCAATAAAATTATATTTCAAATATAAGATATATTTATACAATAAAAATATAATCCATAATGAAAAACTACTATTAAGTAATTTCATCACTTAATAGTAACCACGACAATATTTTGGTGTATAATGGGTGAGAATTTTTTCATACATACATATGTTTTATTAAAATAAAGTTATAAAATACAAATTATTGTGGAGTTTTCTTTTTTCATTTACAATGCATAATAAGCATTAAAAAATAAATGTTTTGCCGGGCGTGGTGGCTCACGCCTGTAATCCTAGCTCTCTGGGAGGCTGAGGCGGGCGGATTGCTCGAGGTCAGGAGTTCAAAACCAGCCTGAGCGAGACCCCGTCTCTAAAAAAAAAAATAAATAAAATAAATGTTTTATGCAGCTGCTGATGCTAATGCTTCCAGAAACATCATTAGAGTCATCATCACTCCCAATTCTAGAGTTCAAGATTCAACTCAACTGCCATCCTGATGATCCTAGGAAAGCACTGGGCCCCAGTAGAAGGACACAAGCCCCACTCTCCAGGCAGAGCACCCTGTGAATTCCCCACACCGTGACCTCACTGCCTATTGACTAGTTTGTACCCATGATGCAGCATGAGCTCCTGGAGAAAAAGGGTCACCCATATTCGTCTCTGTGTTCCCAGGACCCAGCACTAGGCCTAGCAAGTGAGCAAATCCATAGATGTTTTTCAAATTAAGTAACAAATCCACCTTTATAAAGCAATCTGACATAGAGGTTAAGAGTATCAGCTCTGGAATGTGGCAAACACCACCTTGTATCCCAAACCCACCTCTTGATAAGCTGTGAGTTTTATTCTATTAACCTCTCTAAGCCTCAGTTTCCTTATCTAGAAAACAGGGGAGTAGTAAGTACTCACTTTATGTTTGGATTAAATTTTTTAAGAACATGCAAACTCCAGCACCTGGGAAATGGAATGAGATGAATACATCTCATAGTACTGTGGCT